ACGCATAAACTTCTGGTTCACCCTAATATCTAAATCCCTTTTCCAAGTAAATGAAGCAATTTCATTACGTCGACAGGAAATAGAAGCTCATTCGTGTTAATCGTCTTAAATTGGAGCAAAAAATCCATATAAATGAATAGAGGTTTCATTCATCATCTCCGTGATTCATATTCTATATCGTCTAGTCGTCTAGTCAATGAAACTCAGATCTTACAGCAGAATTCTTGCGGTAGCCTAAATCAATTATTTCAAATGAGAATTGTAAGTACATGTCCTTAAATTCTTACCAATTTTAATTCAGATAATCGTCAGTACAGGCTGAATCAACAAAAAATAAAAGAAATATGTTGCCAATTAATTACACAGAGTGTGCCAGTATTGACACGACCATGGAGAAAGTGACTTTATTTAAACGCACTTTTTAACACATTGACTGCCACAGAATTTTTCACGATTCTAGTCTAAATGAATGATTATAACTAAAACTTCTTACTTTGAATGACGTTTTACATATTTTGTGGTTGAGTCAACGAAAAGATAAAAAACGAAAGTTTAGAATGTGTTTATATTTGTAGTTGACCGTGCAACGTAATCTTCCACTATTACAAAGGGGCGTCCGTACCGACTATCGTCAGCGGGCGTGTTAATGATAAAGTAATGACGGTACAGACCACATATGACACTATGATTGTTGCGACAAGCCTCGTCCACGGACTACAAAATATATATGTATAACTATCAGTAATACAATACTAAGTTGTATGTGCGATACCCTAGTTAATAATTAAATCTTCCGAATATATAGAATTATCGACGTTTGCACTACTTTCTTTAAAATTGATCATCATTTAAAAAGCAGGTGAATTATGCCGTTAAGTATGCGAGTTCCGTGTGACCTCGGTGATTCATACATCTCGTGTAATAAATACGATAGAACTGGAAGCGATGACGGAGTCCCAGTCTCTTTTTGGTCCCCTATCGTTAGAACGCGTGTAGCAGTGATAGATAAAAAAAAAAACATAACGCTCCTCGGCGCTTAATCGTCCGGTCACGATCGTAAAAGAATCGCGAAACGGTTTTCCGCGCGGGTATCCGTTATACGAGAAATTTATTCAGCCGGTATCGTCGTGTTTCGGCACGTAGTTAGTATACCGTTGTATGATTTCGTCTCGTTATCTAACCGTGTCGATGTAATTCGTGTCAAGTGAGGTACCCAAGCACGGATCGCGACGCGTTCGACCAGTCGAGTATTACCGATCGTTTAGCGTGTTTATTCCTGTGGGCCAAATACAAATTGGTCGAAGTAGATTTAATTGGAACGAAACGATCTCGGCTCGTTCGTTCGCAAACGAACTCGGTTTAGAAAATTGTATTCGAAATGTCCGAACGTTTCATGAAATAATTCAATAAATCGTATACTTTATTTATTTTAACAGCCGGACGCAATTCTAGAGATAGTGCTGAGAAGTAAAAGTATTCTAAACATCTCATGAACACTACACGAGATTTCTCAACAATGAATCATCGTTCTTTGAAACGACCACATACATAAATGAGCAGATTTAATTGCGTAACTGAAAGAGAAAAATGATGAAAGTGTTTTAAATCCTAACGAATTTCCTCCTCGGATCTCCGTTCAATTAATCTACGCGGAACGTAATTACGCAGACGGAAAAAGGGACATATTCTCGTCGCGATTAACCGCGGTTCGATACGGAAGACGAGTTAACGCGCTTAGAGCGGTAGCATTAACCTAAGCGTGACGTGCGAAGAAATTACAAACTTCGAGCCACCGTACTCTCTCTTCTGCGCGTGTGAAGGTAATGCCGGCCCGGCGAGGCGACACGGGGTGGAAGAGATGGGGGGAGGAGAGTTCAACGAGAACGAGACACACTTACCTGGCTGAGAACGGAGCTACTCAGCTGGGACTTGACAAGCAGGGATTTAAACACCTCTCGTTCCACATTTCCACTCGTGGGAGAGCAGATCTTCTCGTAGACTTCTCTGTAGAACGCCGGTATGCTGCCTGATTGTTCCCGGCGACGAGAACCAAAATAAAAAGACATCACACTAGCGGGAAATTTCACTTTTCCGCGAGAGAAATTACCGCGACACGGTGACGAGAGTGCGAGGAGACGGGGTAGGGTCTACTCATCGGGAAAAGCGGCGATCATTTTATATATATAAACATTTAATCATTATCGGGTGAACACGTTAACCTTAGATAACTGACGTAGTGGTACTTATATCGACGATTGAAATTTCGAAACAGCAACTAAAATAAAGATCGGTTGAACTTGTCCGATAAGTAACCCGATGGCGAGTTTGTATACGTCCGCTCGAACTTGTAACTCGAACGCGACTGTGCGCCTCGCGAGTCTTTCAATGGAATCGTAAAAAGTATGTTAGTCGCCGGTGTTCACGGTTCCGTCGAATGTGAATGATAAGAGGTTTAATTGAGAAAGAGTTGGTGACAAGTCTAACGGAAAACGGTTGCACGACTCGCGGGGAAGACGAGGCTGAGCGTGGAGGGAAGAGCCGGAGTGGTCGGGTGTATTAAAAGGGGCACGCGGTCGCTGTTAAAAACCGGACGACCTCGGGGAGACCTTGTCAAAGGTGTGTACGGTACACGGGTTCATCATTTACCGAACGACAGATCGGTCGACGCCATATTGGATCACTTGTAGATCATCCGGGATCCAGCGAGTCGGTTGCCCCGCGGCTTTTCAAAAATACGGTCACGTTACACGTTCCTCCTCGGGCACGGTGATTTAGCCGCATTCACGTCGCGTACGCTTGAAATAACGATGCTGCCAGTCGTCGCCGGATCGGGAAACACGTTTACACGTCGGGTACCAACGACGCACTCCATTGCCGTGTGGCGCAAAACTGACGGGCCACCGCGATTTCTCCGACCGGCTCCGGTCTGGTCTTGTTTCTCCCGCCGCGCGAGTGTCCTCTGCGCACTAGTGACTCATGGGAAATTTAAACGCGGGAAATATCATCTTCTCGCATCGCGTAGCGCGCTGCGTATCAACGTTGCATTGTTCCGTGTCGAGATTCAGTTTTCTTTTCTTGTCCGACGAGATTTCGTGACGTGTATCTTCGGTTAGAGTAGCGAAATCCTTGTTATATTTAGAGAACAAGTTGAAGGACTTTTGCAAAAAATTTACTTTTAACTTAGAGTCATTAAACTCCGCTTGTATCGCCTTTACGTATCATCTAACGATGCAACGACTACACTAATATGTTGATACAAAGGGATACATCGCCTTTACAGAACAGTTCCATACTGATCGTCACTATTACTTAAATATTAATAAATATTAATTAAACCTCTTACTATGCAGAACAAAAATCTGTGTTGGAATGCAAAGAGAAAGAGAGAGACTGGAAAAGATATAAGAAAGAAAATCGATAGAAACGAACAATAGAGGGTCAAATCGAAATGTGAGGAAATAACAGCCAAAAGAAAAAATAGATAAGGAAGAACTAGAACAATGAAGAATAGGATAGCAGATACAGCAGCATAGGAAGATTTAAATACACAGATACAAAAGCAATACGAAGGAATAAGAGAGATTTCTCAGACATCTATCCTTATGTACGCAATCTATTATTATTACTACATGTAATCATTTGTATACTAAATAAAAGTGTATATTAAAATTTATCTTTTTTATTTGATGTCCCACAAAATTCGTACAAAATATAAATTACTTAAGTGAGTTCGTAAGTTAGAAAAATTGTTAGTTATCATCGAGTTGTCCTAAAGGGAATGGTTTCGGCACTGGTCTCTCTAGATCCCTGATCTCTTTTCGAATCTCTTTGGACTTTTGCTTATCCACCGATTCGATTAATCGCAATTTACCAGCGATTTCTTGTTGTATCATAGGACGGTACTTTTTACCCATTCCAAGGCATTCCATGTCGCTTAAAAATTCCATTCGCTCTTGAATTCCACGCGCCACTAATTATCAAGGAAAAATGGAGGAAAAGATATAAGAAAGAAAATCGATAGAAACGAACAATAGAGGGTCAAATCGAAATGTGAGGAAATAACAGCCAAAAGAAAAAATAGATAAGGAAGAACTAGAACAATGAAGAATAGGATAGCAGATACAGCAGCATAGGAAGATTTAAATACACAGATACAAAAGCAATACGAAGGAATAAGAGAGATTTCTCAGACATCTATCCTTATGTACGCAATCTATTATTATTACTACATGTAATCATTTGTATACTAAATAAAAGTGTATATTAAAATTTATCTTTTTTATTTGATGTCCCACAAAATTCGTACAAAATATAAATTACTTAAGTGAGTTCGTAAGTTAGAAAAATTGTTAGTTATCATCGAGTTGTCCTAAAGGGAATGGTTTCGGCACTGGTCTCTCTAGATCCCTGATCTCTTTTCGAATCTCTTTGGACTTTTGCTTATCCACCGATTCGATTAATCGCAATTTACCAGCGATTTCTTGTTGTATCATAGGACGGTACTTTTTACCCATTCCAAGGCATTCCATGTCGCTTAAAAATTCCATTCGCTCTTGAATTCCACGCGCCACTAATTATCAAGGAAAAATGGTTAATATGTAATTTCACGTTTTTCTTATCTATCCCAATTACTTACAATTATCGATAAGTTCAGCGGTATCGGCACGTGGTGGCGGTCGTCGCGATTTATATAAGCTCGAGATCTCCCGAGGAGTTTCAGGCATGTCCTTCCCATATGCCATCATGCATGCCAAATGACGCTTCTGCTTTTCTTTGTTACCTGCGTTTGAAAACAGGTAGTTGCAGGGCAATTATAAAACCATTAAAGAAGACAGTGTAATCTTACGCAAAGGTGATAGTCGTCTATATTGCTCTCTCTCATATGCGCCGCTTTGAACGATCATATCTTGGGTCCGCTTCTTCCAAACAGTAGGCAGCAAGACCTACACCGACAGTTTCCACTTCATTTCCTTCAAATTCAATTCTACACGTTTGTTTCGATTTGTCAGTTTTACCTGATATTGAGAATTATTTTTATTCGAGCCTCTCTTCAATCCTTCTTCAACTGGTGGCAAGGATTCACCCCTATTAATCGCTTCCTGAATGGACTTCCTTCTCATCATACTCACTTTCGATTCTTCCATTAAAACTATCATCACAAAATAATACATAGTAACATTTAAGAATAAACTTCGAGAATAGAAACTAGCCAAGATCGTCTTTAAAAATTGCTCACGTTTGATCAAATTTTTCGTGTCCTCACTGTATTTTGCTCGCGGCGGGTGGTGGAACGCACCCACCCCCATCTCGACCTTTTGATACCTCCGATCCATTTTGCAACTTCCTGCAAAGATACCGAGGCTACAAAATGGTCAGAATTCGTGTTACGTCAAGAAAGGCAGCCACGATACAAACAGGCATGTGAAGAAACCGCGTTACGTTTCTATGACTACTTCAAAGATGATTCAACCGCAATCGAACCAACTTTCGAAAGCGAATCGAATTCCTACCTTTATTGTCAATAAACGGCTCAAGTGGCACCTGCTTCGGACTAGTAATAAAGCGTAATCGATTCATTGTACAGAACTGAAACGCTTGTGAAGTATCATATACCATAACTAGCATTCCCCATTGCGGTTTCGTCTTTATTAATATTTTTGATAAAAATGCACAACGTAAATACTTTATATTAATAAATATTCTCTATATTAAAAACTTGTTTTATT